TTAAGGGAAAATTTTATAAGATGGTGGTGAGACCTGCAATGCTTTATGGTGCCGAATGTTGGCCATTAAAAGAGAAGCATAATACTAAGTTAAGTGTTGCAGAGATGAGGATGCTTAGGTGGATGAGTGGCTTAACCCTTAGAGATAGGATACGAAATGAGCATATATGTGAAATGGTTGGAGTAGCTCCAGTGAAATATAAGATTAGAGAGCGTCGCCTTAGATGGTTTGGTCACATTAAACGAAGGCCTTCTGATGACCCAGTTAGGAAAGTTGAGGTATTAGATTTGGCTTATGTTAAGAAAGGTAGAGGTAGAACTAAAAAGACTTGGTTAGAAAATATTAGAATTGATCTTTCTTTATTAGATTTAGATGATAATTTGACTTTTAACCGGATACAATGGCGAAAAAGGATTCATGTAGCCGATTTAGTGGTCCAAAGGCTTGATGTTGTTGTTGTTGAATTAAATCAAAATCCCACTCTTAATAGGATACAATGGAGAAAAATAATTCATGTAGCCAACCCCAATTAGTGGGATAAAGGATTCTTGTTGTTGTCATCTACCATCAAATTCACTTTTTTTCTTTGTGCCCATTAAAAATTATATCATGGATTCTCTTCTAATTGGGTTTTTCATAATCTTTTAAATCTTAACTATGTCAAAATAGATGATAAATCACAAATTTTGGATCGTGAATGCTACCAGACTAAAGTATGTAAGAACAACTTCAAACAAGCAAATATAATTTCCTTTCTATCATGATTGTAAGCTATGATACTTGTTCAAGAATCTCAAACCAACTGTCTATAATCTCAACTTCAATTGTTTCATTAAAGTAAGATAACTACTTTTTTTATACCTTGAGAAGAAACTTCTCTCCATTTTGTATTTTTCACAACTTCCTTCTTTGTTAATGGTTTATCTTCGATAGCTTGCCTTCTATTAGATGAATCTCTTCCTATATGAGTGGCGATAGAGTAAATGTTGGTGGTGTTGCCGTTTCCATAAAAACTTAAAAAACAACCATCATGGTGGCCACTTGTTCCTTCATCATGGCCATCTAATCAAACATCTCTTCTTTCATGTTGAGAAGATCTTAAATTTTCAATAATCTATCCTATAGTTGAATTCAAACTTCATAGAATCATCAAGAGTATCCATCTAAATACTAAATTAGCAAATACAACCATGAACTTCTTTTCCAAGAAGTTGAAACTAGTACCTTGATTCTAAATTATGATCTAACATTAGATAAGTGAAAAACTTTTAGAACAAATAGGTTTTTGCTCAAAATTTCCACAATATTTGAACTATTGATCATTGCCATCAATGATCCAAATTTTCTACCTCATGAGCATGGTCATCAGGTATCCTATTGATGACATGTCTTTACCTGCAAACACTTGATGGCTTGACCTTTTCAACATTACGATACGAAAAATTCTTTCAATAATATCTTCCAAGATAGAAAAATATTACAACGCAGCACCTACGCAACTCTTTGCATAATAAAAAATTACAATTAGCCTCAACAAAGAAGCGTTCAACATTTTCACCAAGAAAATCATAATATAAGCATTGCTTGGCATTACACATAAGTCATTTTCTTCATAAAGCACAGATCTGATAGCGCTTAATACAAAGCAATAAGCCTACAGCTTGTTAAAGGGTTTGGCTCAAGTGAGGGATGGAAAGCTTCATGGCAAGTAAGAGACTTTGTTTACCCTCAACAAGTTAGAACAACCTTATAGCCAAGCATGTCATCAACCATGCAAAGTAAGGATAGACTATATAAACATCCAACAAATATACCCATACAGAAGTATAAATCCAACAATTTTCTTTTGGCATACATCTACCACGAATAATTGGACTAATGTCAGAATCTTTATAGCTCAACTCTAAATCTAACCTTTATAATGCGTGCCTTATCATCAACTTTAGCGATCCCATCAAGAAATTTTACAGGAAGCATACGAATGCAGCTGTGCTGCTGCGAACATTGTCTTTAGAATGTATACTCCAGAAGGTTAGTTAATAATGATTTTCGTTCTAAGAAATTAGGCACAAATGTGACAGCTAATCTCGTTCAGCTGGTTTTTGCTTAACTCAACAAAACCAGATACCATCATCGTCACAAAATCGAACTAAATCGGTTGAAATTATAAAAAAAATATTACAAGATCCCGACAAAATCAACCAATATCAAGCCCTAAAAAATTGTAAGGAAAAGTGGAGCACCGTAGTAAGATCCGAACCTGACAAAGCTAACATGGACGCCGAGGCTGCGGTGGACAGCCGAGCAGTCGATGCAGAGGAAGATCCCATACGTCACAGAAGCCCAGGTAGGATTCTTCGCGTTGCAGTCAAAGCACATCTGAAAAGAAAAGCAGCCCAAAAGAATTCCAGTCAGGACTTATTAGATCGGGAGAACCACCCCATCTCAGCCCTAATCGATCTCGAGAGATAACAGAAACTGAATCACAAAAGCAAGTAACAAGAATTTCTTTACCTTGTTTTCTGACCTAGATCTGAGCTTCTTGAAGACAGAGTTCTTGTCGGCAAGGGTTTCGGATGCCATGACGTGGGCTGAGAAACCGAGAGAGGCTGTGATCGTCGGCGACAAAGAGGCACAGAGCTGAGGAAAGGGCCCGAGACCGGATCGTTTCGAAGAAAATGAAAAGAAAACCGTCTTTTGGCATATACCACCCTCTCTTATTTTATATGACACTCTACTTTTCTCTAATTTTCAAATTAAACCGACCACCAAATGCGCTGTTAGTTCGTTAGGGTGTCCATTGTGGCAATAAATGTTTAACGTGGGCCAGTTGAATTTGAGCCTGATTTTAAGAGGACAACTGATTTGTGCTTAAATCAAAGGAATAAAGGAAGACTTTAAGCATTTGGGTGATCTGTAAGTTAGTACAAGATAAGAAAAACTACTTGCTTCAATTTTTTCTAAGCTCATTGTTTAATCTATTATGATATTGTAATCAATAATTAAGCACTAATTATTCTTAATAAAACTAACTATATATAAACTAATTAAGATTATAGGTAATGTTAAATCTAAATATTTTCGTCAATTATTTCATAATCCTACTTTCAGAAGCAAAGAATGAAAGAGAGAGAATTTTTAGTGTGATAAGATATAAGATTTCACTTAATGAAGCTCAAATATAGAGAATAATATGTAAATGAGTCTAACTATGATATTTTAATTATAGGTTTAGGTTGAAGCTCAAATGATACAGTATTGGTTGCACATAGGGTTATATAAATAAAAAAGATTACAAAAGAATGTGTAGCCTAATTCTATATGACTGTCAATTAAAGATTGAATCAGTCATTTGCTTAGTCACTATACTAATGAAAGTGAGATTTTTCATCTTAATTGAGGTTTTTGATTGAAGGAAATCATAAACTTAGTTGGAAGAAGTAGTTGACTTTGTTAGAATAAGTCTTTAACATTGCTGGGAAAGTCTCCGACCTAGGAGAGCTCTCTTTGAATGTAGCAAGTTCACAAAATTGTTGAATTGTGTCAAATTAGTTTGAACCACTTCTACATATATTTGGTTATGCATTTAGTTCCTTGATTTTTTTTATATCTTCAAAAGATTACTACCCAAAGAATAAGTTGACTTTGTTATACATTTAGTTCCTTGATTTTTTTATTTATTTTGCTAAGGAATTATAACAAAAGCTTTGTAATATTAAGTCACAATCAATTAGCTAGATTGTGATATATAATATTGCTCTATTGCCCACGTCAAAAAAATTTCGAAGTCTATAAATTTGAAATGAGTCATTCATTTGAACACTTGAGCCATTCATTTGAACACTTTGGTTCAATCTTCTTCTTCCTCTCCTTTTTAGTTGAAGCTTTGCAATTTTGATAGTTTAAACAAAAATATGATTGTCCCAAATATATAACATTAATATTTCAAAAGATGATATCATTGTTGATTTCTTTGGAAAATAAAAGAAAGGAAAGGGTTCCTCTGAGAAAAAAAAAAAAGCAAAAAGAATGTAAGTGTAGTTGGGAAGAGCAAAGCAGATCTATTCTACCAAATCTTTAGCAGTTATTTCTAAGTTCTTTACTCGAAGCAGTGGGTGAATGCTCAACTATTCATAGTACTCTTTCTACAAAGTCAGCTATCGAGAAAATCATTGTTGATGGTAATGAACTTTATTATTTTATTTGAAACCCTAATCCCCCCCCCCCTCCCCCTCTAGACCCCCCCCCCCCCCTCTCTGTATTTTTTAATAAAATTTTCAAAACTTATATAATTCATTATTCAAAGAGTGATCTTTTGGGAAAACAAATTAACATTGACCAATTAATTTACAATGAACTAAGCATTGATAATACTGAGAAAACTACTAATGAACTAAGTCATGAAAAGCCTAAAGTTGATGTTAGCCAAACTTTTACAAATGAGTTGAAAACTATAGTTAGTTAGTTAGAGGCAGTGCTGAGATATGAAGTCAAGTAAATGATATCTAAAAAGTGAAAAGAAATCGACTATGCGACTATTGAGAGTGTTACTTCTTTCACTCCTTGGATAAGCTTTTACCTCAATATTGTTGACAAACATATTTCAAGTTATATAAGATATATTTTACCTCTTCCAATATCTGCTTCTAAAAAATTAAGAATTATTACAGAGAAATATTGGAGAACTCTCTCAAACTAAGTTAGTCAAATTCTTAATACCCCAAAGAAAATTATTGGGATGCTTACTAACAAGAGAAAATTGTTTACTTTTACTCTATAAGTGCTTTCATAATATTCAAAGTGTAATTTTCAATTCACCAAGAGATTTTTTCAAAGTGTCAATATTGAAGACAGTTTAAGAGTTATCTTCTAAAGTCAACCTATTAAAGTAATTTTAATTAATTTCATTATAGAATAATTATGAAGTTGAAAAGTCTAACTTCAATGAGTCACTGATACTCTTCTTTTTTCTTCTTTTTTTTTTTTTTGAGAAAAGCATTATGCAATTAATAGAAGAAAAGAACTAGATACAAACTAAAGTAAAGGCTCACATTCCTTCTTCAAAAGCAAACAAAGAGAAGGAGGAATGCTAGCAAATGTAGAACTATCAAAGAAAAAGTTAGCATCTAAAGCTAAAGTAGCACATAAATCAGCTACCTTATTACAATCTCTATGAACATGATTAAGAATCACCTTATTGAAATTGGTCAAGAACATAAACTCCTTCTCCACCTGATCAGCCCCTTGCCACTTGTTCTTGTTCAAAGAATTTTTGATGAATTTGATAACATTGATGTTATCTCCTTCAATTATTACTCCTTTACAATCAAGCATCCATGGTTGAATGAGTCT